GCCCCCGCGAGCCCCCGCGGCCGCTCACCTTCCGCCCCGATGGACACCAGCTTCACGCCTTTGCTGGCGATGTAATCCAAGGCTTTGTTGACGTTAGCGATTTTGTGGAAGCGCATTTTTCCCCGGTCGGGCTTGGGCAGCCTTTCCCCTGTCGGATGAAAGCCGATCAGTGTAGACAGAGAAAGCAGCCCCCGCTGCAGAATCAAAATGCCAGCATCCAGCTGGCGGGTGGCTCAGTGGGTGAGCCTCGACCTCTGACCCAGGAGGTCAGGGTTCATTCCTGGTCGGGGCACGTGCCTGGGTTGTGGGCTCCATCCCCAGTAGGGGGCGCGCAGGAGGCAGCCAATCATTGATATTTCTCTCTTCCTCTCTGTAATCAATACAAATTTTTTTTTTTAAAAAGCGGAGAGGGCAGCATGGGGGCCGCCATACATGTCATTTTTCTTTCTACTTTGTTACGAGGGGGGTGATATAAGCACTACCCTAACGTGTCAATTGTGAACAGAACACACTCCCTTTTTACATAGAACAACCCCGGCTGACTGCCCCTCCAGAGGATTTCCTTCCCAACTGCTCCGCGTTCTTGTCCAGCGGGTTCCCAGGGAATGTGTGCTGCAGCCTCTACGCCTTGGCCACGCCTGCTCTCACGCAGACGCACGCTCACGCAGAAGCACGCAGACGTAGACATACGCACACGCACGTACGCAGACGCACGTACACGCACACGCACGCTCACGCACACGCACGCTCACGCACACGCACGCACACGCACGCACACGCACGCTCACGCACGCAGACGTAGACATACGCTCACGCACACGCACGCTCACGCACACGCACATACGCAGACGCACGCACACACAGACGCTCGCGCACACGCACGCACATGCGCTGCGCGGGGTGAGGCACCCACAGACCTGAGATGACTTCCAGCAGCAGCATGAGCTTCAGGCCGTTCCTGAAGTCCTCCTCGATGTTCTCGATCTGGGTGCCGGCTTTCCGCAGGTGCGAGTTGCACCAGGCCGTGAAGGTCTGCAAGAGAGCATGCGGCTCAGCGCGGGCTCAGGGGCACGCGCGCCACGGGGACACGTGCAAACCAATTTGCAGTAACATCACACAGGGGCACACGCTCCACAGAGACCACGTGCGGCTCAGCACGGGCACACGCTCCACGGGGAACACGTGCAATCAAACCCATTTGCAGTAACAGCACACCGGCACGTACTGCACGGGGAACACGTGCGGCTCAGCCGGGCACACGCTCCACGGGGAACACGTGCGTCCCAGCACGGGCACACTCTTCACGGGGAACACGTGCGGCTCAGCTGGGCACACGCTCCTCGGGGAACACGTGTGGATCATCACGGGCACACGCTCCACGGGGAACACGTGCGGCCCAGCACGGGCACACTCTTCACGGGGAACACGTGCGGCTCAGCTGGGCACACGCTCCTCGGGGAACACGTGTGGATCATCACGGGCACACGCTCCACGGGGAACACGTGCGGCTCAGCCAGGCACATGCTCCTCGGGGAACACGTGCAGATCATCACGGGCACACGCTCCATGGGGAATACGTGCGGATCATCACCGGCACACGCTCCACGGGGAACACGTGCGGCTCGGCACAGGAACACGTGCGGCTCAGCACGGGCACACGCTCCACGGGGAACACGTGCGGATCAGCACGGGCACGTACTCTACGGGGAACACGTGTGGCTCAGCCGGGCACACTCCTCACGGGGAACACGTGCGGCCTCTCATGCGTGCTGAGGGGGTCTAATGTGGTGCAAGAAATGATTGGAGGCCCAAGGACAAGGTTTTAGTAAAAGTCCTCTTTCGTAGACCCACACCTTTTATTGGGTGCACCAACCTGAGGACCTTTTGCCGTCAGTTTGAAAAGAAACCTGAAAACCTTTTGTATCGTAGGGAACATGAACTAAATCAGGACGCACTTACACAACAGAAATCAGCCTGCCTGCAAAATGGATGAATAAATCGTGTGTCCACGCTGCTCAGATGTCGTACTTTGGAGCAGAGGTGGGTGGTGTGGTGTAGCAGAAAGGGGAGACGGGGAGGGACCCCTCACCCCTAACCACGCATTACCCCGGAGGAACAGCAGTGTTAAGTTAGTAACTAAGCCAGTCGAACCGATTTGCAGCAACATCAATCACTAAAAAATCAATAGCAGCCTTGGCTCGCATGGCTCAGTGGTTGAGCGTCGACCTATGAACCAGGAGGTCACGGTTCGATTCCCGCTCAGGGCACATGCCCGGGTTGCGGGCTCCATCCCCAGCGTGGGGCTTGCAGGAGGCAGCCGATCCATGATTCTCTCTCATCATGGATGTTTCTCTCTCTCTCTCCCTCTCTAAAATCAATAAAATATATATATATTTTTAAATTAGTAGCAGTGGCAACAAGAACCTCCTGGCACAGACCTGGACTGCAAGACAATTAGACACGGCCCTGCCCTGAGGGCTCGGGGTGTAGCAGGTTAACAAGTTTCCCGCGATCTTCAGAGGAGCGGTGGGCGGCATACGAAGCGGCATCCAAAGTCAATTCTGTTTACTTTTCAAGCGTCTTTTAACTTGGCTTCCACTTGGGCACGATTTCCTGCCAGAACCAGATTAGAAACCCTCCTGGCAGCTGCGGGCTAAGAATGCACACTGTCCCCGAGTCTCGCAACAGCTGCTGGGCTCGGGAACAAAGTGCCCGCAGGCCACACGGGGCGGAGGCACACACAGGCCCAGTTAGAGGCGGAACACGAACCTCTCCAAAGCAGGCTGTTCCAGGGACGACCACAAGCGGACAGTTTCCATAAAATTGATTTTTTTTTTCTGGGTAATAAAGAGGATTTTTCAAATCGGACTCAGAGTCCCTAATTGCAAGAAAAATGTGACAGCGTTACATGCAAGGGCCAAGAGAAAATAGAGGCATTTTCTTGGATTTGCAGCAATATAATTCCACCCTGACAGCCTACGCTGATCTTCACTTTCCCTAAAACACAAGCAAATTTTAGGTCTAAACAGGAGAAAGAGTCTAAGAATGAGTAATCCATTTCCTGGGCTCAAAATTCAAGTGGGCCCGGCTGGTGTGGTTCAGTGGTGGAGTGTCGACCTATGAATCTGGAGGTCATGGTTCGATTTCCGTCAATAAAAACATTTAAAAAAAAGACATGGCGTCAAACAGGAGGTATGTACGTAGGAGAGAGTTGATTCTAAGGATCTTGCATGTGTTGCCATCAATGACCAGATGTCTTGGACATCCATCTGGGGCCTGAATGTCCCCATAACTGTCGTAAACATCTAATGCCACAGTGAGCAGCCCTTTCGTTCCCCGCCCACAAATCCCTGCTTCGTCTCCCAGATCATGCGAGATAGAGAGAAATAAAAACATCAATGATGAGAGAGAATCATCGATCGGCTGCCTCCTGCACGCCCCCTACTGGGGATGGAGCCCACAACCCAGGCATGTGCCCTTGACCAGGAATCCAACCCGTGACCTCTTTGTTCCTAGGTCAATGCTCGACCACTGAGCCACACCAGCCCGGCTCAATTCTGCCTTCTTCCCCCTCGTGCCACCTGCAAGGAATCCAACCCGTGACCTCTTGGTTCCTAGGTCAATGCTCGACCATTGAGCCACACCAGCCGGGCTCAATTCTGCCTTCTTCCCCCTCGTGCCACCTGCAGAACCCAGCACCCAGCAGGTGCACCTTAATTCACATATACAGAATCGGTGCCCATTCAACTCTAACACACTTCAAGTGTAAATGGTGACAGTTTGCATCACAACTTCACAGAAGCCTCAACAGGACCAAACTGCTGCTTTTCACTGGGTTCCAGAAAAACGCATAAACACCAATGCCATCGCTCAAAGACAAAGTAAGAAAGAAGGCAGCCTTTCCCATCGGTTCACCCCAACAAATTCTGCCTGCACGCGGGATTTCAGATCTCTTTCTACCAGTGTCAGGATGCCCAACAATCTCAAATTAAGGGGCATGAAGGACACAAACTTCGCCAGCAGCAGATGCCCGGGACCCAGTGGCATCAGTATGTATGTGTTAATAGCATCTTATTTGTCAGACTTTCTGGGACAAATCAGAGAGAACATCAATCAGAGATTTTATTTATTTTTTTTAAGTATGTTCTTGTTGATTTTTAGAGAGGAAGGGAGAGGATCGATGCTCAACCACTGAGCCACACTGGCCGGGCCCATCAGATTTTTCAAACTGAAAAAAAAAAAAAAAAAAGAGATGGAGGAGCTAAAAATCTGCATCTGCTCAAGTTTCAGGCTTTTAAAAAGGATAATTACCATGTCAACCTTAACTACAGAATCCTTAAATGTTCCAAAGGACTCGCGGTTATCTTGCCAAAAAAAGCGCAACCTTGTGAAAAAGGAAAGGCAACCTGCCGGCCGAGGGCATCTAAAAATAGGCTGGGGCTCGGGGATGAGACTGTAGGCGAGCAGGTTAACGACAGCCGGAGGCTGGGCCCTCGCGGGCCTGTTTTCACTCAGAAATGCCAAGCCAAGGAATGTTAGGCTCCGACTGCCGGGCTCATGGACCAAGGCCATTTAGTTCCCGAGCTGTTTGGAAAATGTAAAGAAAAGTAAAATTCTGAGGCTGCCTCACGGGAGGAAAAAAAAAATGCTTCTTAGGGTTTTTAACGAAGCCAAACGAAGCCCAGACTAACTCTGGTTTAAGGAATGGCCTCTGGATATGTGGCATCTAATCCCTAACTCCCAAAAAGGGTGAAGCAGATTAAAGCTATGGGTTTTGGAAAGAGGAAATGGCTAATGAGGATGTGTGTGTGTGTGTGTGTGTGTGTAGATATATATATTCCATAATAATAAAAGGGTAATATGCTAATTAGACTGGACGTCTTTCCGGACGACCTTCCGGACGAAGCTGGGGCTGCAAGGGAAGCCCGGGTCCTGGGTGCAAGAGGGAAGCCGGTGCTGGCAGCTGGGGGAAGGACTACTCTTGCACAGATTTCATGCATCGGGCCTCTACTAGATAGATAGATAGATAGATAGATAGATAGATAGATAGATAGATTAGATAGATTTTTATTTATTTCAGAGAGGAAGGGAAAGGGGGAGAGGGAGAAACATCAATGATGAGAGAGAATCATGGATTGGCTGCCTCCTGCACGCCCCCTACTGGGGATCGAGCCTGCAACCCGGGCATGTGCCCTGACTGGGAACCGAACCGTGACCTCCTGGTTCATAGGTTGACACTCAACCACTGAGCCACACCAGCTGGGCCCACTGGAATTTTGAACTGAGGAAACGTATTGTCCATGTCTGTTTTTTATATTTATATGTCATGATTTTACCTTAAAGAATTGTCTTCCCCCCTCCCTCCCCCCACCATAACTCACTTTATTAAGCCCTCAGGCAGGAGTGCAGATGAGAGAGAGACATGGCACAGGTTTAGAGTCCTTTTTCCAAAAAGAGGCCCAAGATCCAAATAAGCTAAGATGTTTACTATTCCAGTATAATTTTATCGATTTTGATGAAGACACATAGGAATTGGTACACGAGAATGATACACAGAACTAGCTGGAGCCTATCGCTAGTGGGTCTTAAATTACAGTATGCCCTCTCGTCCTGTGGAAATGACAACTGTCTTCGGTCTCGGCTTACTGCATTCCTTCTCCATGGCAAGCGCTTCGTCTAAGATCCCACATGTGTCCCCATGTTCCCTCTTACATGGGTCTCCATAAATAATACTGCGTTTGGGTTGAATTATTTAGAATTGCTCGTGGTTTCATAAAGATCCTACATTGATCCAGAAGCTAGTGTACTGCCATCTGTTCATGTCCTCCCTGCTCAAGAAAATATTCTACAATCATTTCATTACCACTCTCAGGAGTCCTTATTACTCATCCTCCTAAATTTTTTTTTAAATATATTTTTATTTATTTCAGAGAGAAAGGGAGAGGGAGAGAGATAGAAACATCAGTGATGAGAGAGAATCATGGATCGGCTGCCTCCTGCACGCCCCCTTCTGGGGATCGAGTCTGCAACCC